GTGTTTTAATTTCTCTAACATACAATGCCTTGTCTTTTTATGCTGCTGCAACGCAAACATTTCACAAATTGGGATCAATAAAGTACTTCTTATCTTATTCTTAAATAATGTAGATGTTTTAAATCAAACCTGAGTATTTGGTAGCTCTGGTAGACCGCAGCATCATTCAGGTTGTGTCGTTTCTCCATGTGTTTCAGCAAGTTCTTCAAATCTGAGTATTTTTTCTCACAAAAGCTGCAGTGCTGCTTCACCTTCAAATGGACCCGCTCTATGTGCACCTGCATTAACGGAAACACAGAATCACTGCTGCGCCCAGAATAACAATTGATGTGGGTGTTGAAATGAGTATTGTCTCAAAGCTGTTGTGTTAATAATAATAATTATACTCTGGATATAACACTTTGCTACTAATATTATCAATATCTGTAATAGAGTTGGTACAGCACCTTGAGGTGTCCTGGGCTCAGGCAGTTGAAAGGACAGTGCTGACAGCTGAACTTCTCTCCTGTGTGCTTCCCTCAGGTGAACATTCAGGTTGGCTTGAAAGAGAAAAGAAGGTGGGAAGGTAGTCAACTTTTACAGGAATTTACAGTGGCTGCAGGTTTCACGATTTTGTTATTTAAAGTCTTACAGCAATTTCGTTTTGTTTGTTTGTATATATATATAAAAAATACTTTTGTAACCCTCTTTAATGATGAATCAATAAGGACACTGACACTGATCTACCTTTGATGGCCGATGCGTAGTCACAGTGAGGACACTGGAATGGTTTCTCCTGGGTGTGTGTCCTCAGGTGGGCGACCAGTGAGTGTCTGAACTTAAAGATTTTGTTACAGAACTCACAGGCAAAGATCTTCAGCTGGCTCTGAAGTAGACTGGGAGAGAAATTACAAGGAAATTAAATTAAATTAAGGAAATTACATTTACAACTTGACGTATAGTTTGCAGTTATTATCATGGCAGTGAATTTGTTGTTGTTGAAACAAATAGACAACATCCTTTGTGGCTCTAGGCTGCACAGATAAGCAAATGACCAATACAGAAAGAGAATACTCTTAACTCTTCAAATGAACGGATAGACAAGGCAAGCATTTTGTTAGATAGTCAGATCATTCACATTAGTATGTAGCTTGTATTTTACACAGGATTCCCCAAAGCTAAGATGACAATAATATAAAATCATTGTTAATACATTCATTAAACAGTATGCATACAGTACTTGGTTGCATCTTGCTTGATAGAATATTCCTGGAAGCCTCTGCTCGGTGCTGTTGTTGTGGAGGTCGGGTTAGAACTAGAGTAAAAGGAGGGAGGTAAGGGGTACATTAAAGGTCAGACTGCTTCAAGCACCAAACAACAGGAGCTTAAAAACATTATTTATAACAACATGTTTCCGTGAGATTTTCTATACCAAGCTTACTAACAATGTGTCTTTATAACCATCAATCATGCAATTGTAGGGGACATGGACATTCTCCATCACACTACCTTGGCTCCGGTCTGTTTTAGGGTTACCCTCACAGGAAGGGGCTTCACTTGCAAGATCTTGTGGTCTGACCCTGGAAGAATAAATAAAAGACAACAAAAACACACTTTAACATGTAAGACTGATTTTTTTTTTTTTTTAAATAACCTTCTACAGAAACACAACCCTGAGACACTTGTACACCAAGAGTGTGACACTGTTAAGAGTTTATAAATAAATCTATCCTACGTAAATTAAATCCAGACTGCCAGGCTACATACTTTACAGTTTTGGTGAGTTTACCTGAGGTTGAGCTTGGATTGCCAGATAATATGCTTCCACTGAATTTGTCCTCTACTGGAACCATTTTAGAAACACCTGTTGAGTTAAAAGGTAACAAGTCTTTCTTATAAATATTTCTGATAAAGCAGTCCAGTCAGTCTTTAGTCAAAATGTTTATGACTTTATGACAAACCTGGAAGTGTTTTATCTTCAGTCAGAACAACGCTGATGACAGACTTCCTTGTTTCCTGTTGCTAGGCCTCCTTCTTTGGAGGGGCGGCTTCGGTTATTTCTTGGGGATCTGAGGCTGCCCGTGTCTACAAGCAGAGAAAAAGAGGGGGTTAGGCCGCTCATCTTTTACAAATCCTCATAATTAGCAATTAGTGTCCATCCTAGGAATAATCATTTAAAGAAACCATGTTCTGAACTTAAACTCGCCTTTTTCTCTCACAAGTCCTGCCCTTGCTGGATTTTTTTTGCGTTTGGTTTGGATCTACTCCAACAGAATCCAAACTCCCAGAACTCTCAGCTCCCGCTCCACCAGAGACGCTCCCTAAAATGTATTGGGTCTGTTAAGCATAATCACCTGAATCACCAAGTACAATTCATGTATGTAAATTGTATTATTCTGTTCCTTTACCAAACATCTGTAGTTAACACATTTAATCATCTATCCCAATAATAGATTATCCCAAACATGCTTGCTGTGGTCACTTTGAAAAACTCCAAAATGTACTTTTTAATTGCTGATTTATTTAACTCCTCACTTTTCTCCTCTTCGTCCTCCTCCTGCTCCTCCTCCTCATCCCTCAGGCAGATGTGTTTGAGGATCTGTCGTCTGTTGCTGAATGAGCGGTGGCAGTCTTTACATTCAAGCCCTAGTGCACCGTTATGTCTTTCACCTTAGAAAAAAAGAAGTTAAAATGTTAATGGTGGAAAACAGTTTGTGTAGTATATTTTCAAAAATCTCTAATTGAAACCATATACTTGAAACAATTAAAGGTCATACTAATCTTCTATCATGCATAGGGTACTTCTTGTCTTTGTATGAACAAAGTACTATGGGATACATATCAATTGAACAAGACTACCTTGTAATGAGCTACATTGTTTGTCTCCCTTCTCCTTAATCCCTTCTTCTTGTCTTTGAACATCATCCTTCAGAGAACTGGAGGAGTCCGCCTTGTCCTCTGTCAAATCTGTGCGCGTCTTCTTTGTAGAGCCTTTTGGTCGTCCTCGTTTTCTCTTTACTGGGCTCTCTGTGAGCCGACAAAACAGCAGAAGAAATAAGAAGACAACACCTTTATTTATTTGTCAATGAACTGATTCCACGAAAGGATTGCAGAAACAACAAGACATTTTTGTACTTGTATTTAAGTACATCTCCATCCATATCTTTTTTTTCTGTGGTCTGATATACTGTAATAGATAATGCCTTGTGACATAGAACTGCATTGTAATCCCCCTAAACAAAGTCAAATTCATTCAAAAATGACTAAACAAAGTAATAATTCTTTTGAAATATTATGTGCATAGTTTTTGTTTTTTTAAATCATTTTGGAATGGTTATTCTAGCAATGATATGCTAATCTGACCTGCTGGTGTCTCCACAGTCTCTCCTATAAGGGGCTGCAGGGAAACGATGATGTCATCAGGGGCTTCCTGCTGTGGGTGCAGCTGGGAGCAATGGGCCAGCAGCTGAGAGCGACTGGGAGAGAAGATGTTGCACAGCCGACACATAAACACAGAACCAGCTGTGGAGAACAGGAAAGAAGGCTAATGTCAATGCCTGCTCTCAACAATAAAGCAAATGTTGTTATTTTTGAGTGATTGTACCCCATTTCCTCATTCTGATACCCCCAAGACTAAACCCTTCAACCAACTGCGATATCTATCAAGAACTTGTTTTGTTTTTTGCTTGACAGTGCATAACATCTAATATACAAACACACAAAAAAGGAACATTGCTTCAGTCCATCTTTATCTTTATTTGTTAAGGTGTTACATTCTGCTAATTAGTTTTTGCAGATGCTTATATTTACATTTTGTCATTTTCTTGTGTTTAATTGTAGGCCTAATGTCTATATTGTACATGTAACAGAAGTTAAAAGGAGAGAGAACATCAAGAAAATGGGAGGGAATGTGAATTAAATGATAGGGAAGGCTAATGGAGGATGTCATTTATATACAGCACAGGTTATTTCAGAATTGTTAGGACATGTCAGCTTTAATAGAAAGTAGCATCTGATCTGACAGACACATCGACATGAATAACGTTAGGCAATTACTGTGTCCATCCACAGATGACGATACCGTGAGCGTGTTAATATTACAACTTGAATATAGTAATATGTATTTGATTATTGTTAAATTGATGATTAACAATTGAATTTTTTTTTAAAATGAAAATATGAGCTTTACGTCCTTCTTTTTTAGATAAAGGTCGAACATCAATCTTTGTCCACACAGTTTGGTGCTGTCTCAAAACTTTCAATATAATAATATAACGGTGACAGATTCAGGGTTGACGACAGTCAACAGTTTATGCCGTCAGTCATGACAGCTGCCGAGAATGACAGTAGAGTCGACGTGTCGACTTTATCACAAAAAAGCCTGATAATAATGAAAAAATTAATATTGTTTATTTTGATTTGGCCCAAACTAACATGAATACCCGACAAACATATTCGAGTTGAAGCTAGCCAAAAGTTCTTACCTGCTTTTTGTCCATCCATTTCATCAGCGATTCAACAACAAAACAATACTAATTTATCGATGGTGTTACGGGCATATTCAGCTAAATACCATCACTGAATTTACATTTTAGAGCCTTATATGATACAACGCACATAGACATTTCTGACGAATCTGCCACACAAGTCCTTCCAACCAGCGGAAGTGCTCTGTTGTGACGCTAGAGCTGGCAGAGCAGCGCCCCCTGTGGCGGGGGACTGAACTGCGGCTAGGGAGGGGACTGCAGCAAATTAGGAGTTCAGTTTTCCTCAAAGAAACACATTTTGGCCATGGGTTAAAACGTATATGTATATTATATGTTGCCAATTGTGCCATTAGGCTTCAACACTGTTGACATAGACTTGTGTATGCTTACTTCAAGTTGTGTTAATAACACAGTGTGTCTGCTATAGAGTAATTATTATTTTTCTTATGTAACATAAGGTGTTTACGAACAAATACAGGCCATAAAATATCTTTAAAAATGCAGCAAATAGACAGAAGAAATCGTGAACAACTATTATAATAAAGGGACAGTGACAAAAACTTTATTTAACAGTGCGAGAATTTACAGGACAAACAGACGTTTACAACATTTGTTTTACATTAAAAAGTGTTTGGGTTTATGCCAGTCCCAAGGATTTACAATGGCTAAAGTTTGCGAAAAACACACAACACAAACATACACACACAACGCAGTCATACACAAACACAGACAAATATACACACACACATACACAGTCAAAAAACATACAAACATTATATGAACAAGGAATCTGTAGCCAATTTGCTAAGCTTTCAGGAAAACGTGGTTTGATCCTATTCCTATCTCCTTTTTAACATCAATGTTACACCCTCTGCTCTCATTTTATTTTGTACGTATTGTCATTCAAGACCATAGATGATGGGAGACTAGCAACCTACTAAAACAAAAAAGGGCATGCTCTATCATCAGCAAAAAAGGAGCAGTTGGCTGCAAGCATCTTCAGGAACAAAACACATAAGTAAGTAAACTCCCCCCCACAAGATAATCTTTGACCTAGTATAGTGTGATCTAGACATAAATGATGTGCAGCTATATTTACATTAGGATTAGTCCAGTACCTCCATTTACACATCATCCATGGATGAGATTGTGTCCTCCACTGCTGATACAAATGTAAATTCCCTCTCTGACATATAGAATATATAATATACACATATTTGAAAATTATTTAATTTTTGTTGTGCGCAAATTGTTGTAGTCAATGAAGGAGTAGTTTAACCATTATGTCCATGGGGAATAAAAGGGATAAAAATAGGATCACATTTTTTTACATTATCACAACTAGATTACATATGTCAGTCCTTTAAGTCTGTGTGTAATGTATTATTACTTGGCTTCAAATCAGCTGTTTCCTTCTGTGAATGTCAGCAAACAGAGCATAATATAATGCACACACTGATATGTAAAACACATAACTTGAGCACAATGGAGTAATTTAAACCGGCAACTGTGACAAAAAAACCAAATGAAGGCTTTATATTTACCAAAAGCTGATATTCACAATGATCAGAGACAATAAATAATATCTTATTTTTAGACAAATGTCAGAAAATACTCAGATGAAAATTAGCCCTTATATCTCCAGTTAAACTAAAACTAAAGAAGAGACACTAAAGAATGAATAATGTCAAAGAGAGGGTTACTTATAGTATTGACTTAAATTGATAGTAAAAACCCTGAGCCTACCAAATTATGGTTTAAAGGTTTTGGTATAACAACAATCTTATATAAATACTGCTTGTATTACCCTGATAATGGTGAGTTTTAAACATATTGAACATGTGTACATCATTGAAAAAATAAAGTTACTTAACAAAGTATGCAGTATTATTTGACATGTTTAAGGCCTTGTATCAATTGAAATCAGCAACACCCATTTGTATGGGTTTGCCCACTTGTGTACTCTATGGATTTGTTTTATTGAACATTTTAATGTGAAACCTCAAGACCTGATCCCTGACCAAAGTTTCTGTCTTTCCCAGAGCTATTTAGTTGCACAAATATGCCTTAACAATATGCCACAAACCTTTTTATGGGATTGTCTTGTCCATCTTGGCCATTTCTTTCACTGTTATCTATAAAAATGAAGCAAACATGCCAATAGAATAATTTAAAAGGGACCAAGAATTCTAACAAACAAGGGAATAACGATGCATTGTAACAAACCCGCTGTCAAAAATTCCCAGGGTACACATCAGGTTATATGACAAGATGACAAGGCTTGTATGGTTCTTTCCTGAGAGCATTTGTTGAGGGGTACAAGATGTCTGAGGGTGTGTGTGTGTGTGTTCACATTGTGCAACACTTGTTCTTGTGTGCAGTAGAGTCTTTGAAGCGAAGAGTCTTTGCTTGGATCGATATTTCTCCAGGTAGGTTTAGCTGTTTACTGTTGATGGCTCCCCGACGCTTCCTGAAACACACATAAAAACACTATGTATGATGCAAGAACACGCCTTTTTAGTGTGCGATGCCTTCTGTCTGTTCTCTTATTAATTTGATATCACACCACCAGACGGCACCAAGAAAGAAATGTTCAATTTCTACTCAAAAACGGTTTCATTAAATACTACATTCATTGATTGATAACACAATTCATTGTTTATCATATTAAACCATCTTTCTTTGCTGTGTATATAATTGGAATAACACACTGTTTGCATTTAATATTAATATTTAATATTGCTTTATGAGGATGTAATAATCAAATGTACTCACTGTCTAATGAGTTGAATAGCATCTTCATACTTCATCCCGCTCTCTATCAAAGCCAAAGCAACCATCACAGGAGCCCTAGTCAGATGAAGACAGCACATATAAATGACTATTATGTAGGCAAGTATGTGAAAATAATAAATATAAAATAATATAGGTTTATATTTAAATGTTTCATAAATATATACAGTATAAAAAGCCCTAATAATAGACAATAAGATCAAATATGTTTAATCACTTGGATTGTGTTCAGACACAAACTGTGTTTTCTTGTTGTTGCTCCCTGTGTCTCTCACCTCCCCAGTCCAGCCACACAATGGACAGCCACGCAGCATCCTGGTTCCTCCAGAAATTATTCTTCAGCAAATTCAACCAATCATCAACCAGCTTCGTAGGGGGTGGGGGCTCCATCATCAAACGCCCAATCCTGAAAGCAGAGCAGAGTTTTTAAAGTACTCCTGGCACTCTGTATCCTCTGTGTTTGTGTGTATGTGTGTATTTGCTGAGTGCTCACCACCACAGTAATGCCGTCTTTCTCCAACGGTGTTTTATCATAGGTGATATCACAGACTCGAACAACTGTGGTGGCACCAAAGTGCTTCAGGTCCTGGAAGGGACCATTTTTGAATTAACTTAAAATGTCTCTCGGTTTACATGTCATCAACAAGAGGGGAAAAGACATACAGTTTACCATGAGGTATAGGTATATGTGCAATTCAGGGTTTCCGCTAGGATTTTTTCTCGCCGGTCAAATGTCCGGCCAGAATTAATTTTATCGGACAAATTTGAAACTTACCGGTCATATTTCACTAATAATAATAAGAGTTGTGTAGCAGAGTTTCCGTTAGCAGGTAATTACCGGACTATGAGCAGATATGCTGATGTTTAAAACTCAGTTAATGGGGCTCGTTTTTATATTGCTTCAGTTTATAATCGTAACAGATCGAAAAATTCAGATTCATTTTCCAATAAATGATTCCACAAACAACAAACAACATAATTATTACATTCAAACAAACTACTTGTAGTAGATGAAGTACATTATTCAAAAGTTTACATCAACTTTGAATAATAACACGGGAGAAACGGATGCTCTCTTTTCCCTCTCCCTCCCTCTCTCCTGACAGCCCGTCAGTTTCTCATGCAGCTCGCTAAACAGAGGCGGGGCTTCAGGTGATCATGCAGAGCTGCGTGTCTCTGTCAGACTCAGCAGCTGATCTGATCTCTCTCTCGTGTCCGGTTATACTTCACTCGCGTTTATGTCCATATCGATCAGATCCAGCTCTCCTGATCGTCCTTTATAGAGAGCACCGATCAAACTATTAAGAGTGAATATCGGCCGATAATGACCGGCGGCCGATCTATCGGAGCCTCCCTAATTATTACCAGACATTTTGACCGGCAGGTTTTGAATTTACCGGTTTTTAATAAATGTTACCAGCTAAAAACCGGTAATTACCGGCTAACGGAAACCCTGATGTGCATGTGTACCATGTGTCATCTTTGGTAATCTCTTCAGTGTACTTATGGTCTTCTGTTAACACACACACATATATATGTTTCTCACCTCTATAAAGGAGGTGAGCGTGCTGTCAGTAGGGTTGTGTGTGATGAGGAATCTCATGTTCTTGTGGCACAGTTCCACTGGAGCAGGGCGGTTCATGTTGGCAGCCGTGACCTTTAATGTCCTAGAACGTCCTCTGTCAGGGAAAAATGTACTGAATTTATCTTACGATGGCACACGATGTCAACAAAATGACACCATGCTCATAACGTTTTGAAGAGCTTCAACTATATTTCTCAAGTTACCTCAAAGGCCTTTTTCATGGCAGACATTTTGACAGGTCACAGTGAGGAAAGCACAGGTTTAAATGAGGAAAATATAAGATTGCTGATTTGTATTAGGCTGCTTTAGTTATTATTCTGAATGTGGGGATCATTGTCACGCTTGTCGTGGCTAACACTTGAAATAGAACAGAGCTATTGCTAGTGCTATTAATAACACCTGTCCCTTTTCCTACCATGACAAGCCAAAACGTCCGCTGTGAAAAAAGACCCAGCTTTACTCCTCCAGACAGCATTACTGAAACTGTTACTGTCTTGAGACATCTCAAGACCTATCACAAGGTCACACAATAAAAGTCCTTTCTTCCAAAATACACTTAAATCAAGCACTTCTCCATAAGAGACAACATTTTTCAAAGAAGAACGAATTACGCTTGATTAGACCTAATCTAAAAACTGTGTGGGTGGGTACCGACTGCACTTGAATAAAATCTCCCTCTGGCTTTGGTCACATGTGTTATGGTGCGACAAATTAAAATAATATAAAAAACATAAAATGCACTTGAAGAAGTCATGTGGATACAAACAAATAATGTATATAAACAGGCACGGGACTGTTAATATCTTGATTGATAGAGTCATGTGATGCAGAGACCACACTGTATCATTTGATGTTACCTTCAGTGTGAACAGTCTGCTAGTAATGACACACTTTTTAATTGAATAGACAGGTGACACATGAAGTATGTAGTATGCAGTAAGTTAGTATGCAGTATGTTTGTATGCAGTAACTTAGTATTGGATTTAGAACACAGCCTGAGTTTTAACCTGAACAAATTCCCACCATAAAATGAAAGAGTGATTTATGACTTTAGGAAATACTGTGTACTCATAAATCTGTATAGCATGTATAGTACAGGAATTATTCACTATAAATATGGCATGTGCTTTGTTTATTGCATTATTTTCAAATAGGAAATGTCTCCTGTGTTCAGACTGTTCTACAACTTCTTTAAAAAACATTACACCAGCACAAAAAATGAAGGATGTTTTTCGATTTAAGGACTTCGAAATTAAAACATCTCTGTAAATAAATATTACACCCCTACTGCAAAGGCAAGCCAAAGGCTGATTTAAGCTTATATTGACACAACTAAAAAGCTGCAATAGAATCCTATAACCAAGCCATAACAAGTCAATGGGGAGCAGGAGTTAGGAAGTGCTGGTGCATAACTAGATTTACTCCAGCTCTGATGAGCAGACGGCCCTTACCTTCAGCTGGAGCTGCAGCAGGTAGCTGCTGTGAGTTCAACTTATAGCAGGTCACCAGGTGACCTCCTGTCTCTGGTTGAACTTCCTGTTGGGAGATTGTTTATAGCCTTTAAGGTATTTTCCCAATTCCGATGTCCTGTTGTACAGTTTTAGTCCATCAGTTGACAGTGTCCTATAGTTCAGGAAGCACGGCGTGTCAACTTTCGTTGTTTTAATTTCTCAGATTGTCACTTCAGTCCTTCTCTCTGTGTCTTTCAGTAGCTCTCTTTTTCTCTCCGGTAAGCTTCCAGTGTTGAGGCTCCACGTATTACCCCATTAGCTGGCTGCTTCAGAGAGCAATGGTCTTTCAGGTTTCAGGGCCGCAGGACTGCATGCTGTAGCTTCATCCCAAGTAGCCCTTAATGGTGTTGAGCGTGGCAGTAGTCACCACTCCCCCGCACAAACTCCATCAAACCAGCGATTCTACAAAACATACAATTGAAATATTACTCGTTAAATAAGCAACTCCAGAAAACAGTAATGAAAATAAGAAGAAATTATACATTTTTGTTCCAGTGTTCCAATCACAGTATCTGTAAAATCAGCTGATTCTGTAAGGCAAAAATATACTTATGATAGCCCTCTTCTGTAATGTGATGGGCCAAAGAAAGGCAACTGATGTACATAGATACACAATCAAACACACACATGAATATGTGTATTCAAACATATTCTAAATCTCTTGCCAATTAACTAACACACCTAAGTGTTTGTAATATACTAAAAATATAAACATTCTGCATAAAGTGTGCCTATCTATAATCTTACTTGTGAAATTGGTTTGTCTTTGTAATGATTTAAAATAAAAAATATGAAGTAAAATGCTGCCAATACCAGGGCCACTATGCAAATTCAAGACTGATATTTGCTACTAAGGTCTTGATTCTGCCTTGTTTGGAAGTAATTGTGTGGAAAACAAGTGCTGATTATCTCTCACTCCAACATTCAGACAAACAACAAGGGAAAGTCCAGAGGTACTCTGGGTAATCCGTCATCACCTCTTCATCCTAGCTTTGACAATACCCACGTACACACACACGCTTAATAATCACATGCCGACTTACTCACTGACTCTACCAGAAGAGTGCAGTCTATTCCCGGTTGTTGACCATCTATAATTAGGATTATCCTCTGTTACCACTAATCAGGTTAGAGCAGAGGACCATTTTTTCCATGCAGTCGATATGAAGACAGGACATTTGTTTTATTTTTTAAAAAGTTTGTTTTGAATTTAACGGAGTTGCCATGTGTCTTTTTTAGCAGTGACCCAAGATCAAAACATTATATGAAAGCATAAAGGAGCATCATTTAAATGACGGTAGCAGTCATTCCCATTAAAACTGTACAGCCGATCTTCCCTCTTATCTTAGAGCGCAGTTTGGTTTCTAAAAGCAGGTGTGTCCCGTGATGGCTGTCTAGCTTGCCGACTGACCTGCCTGTGCAGGCTAGGTCAGGGCCCAAAGAAGTTAAAAATGGATCTCAATATCATTTTAGAGCCACGTTAGGTTGCCACGCTTCTCTACAGTACGTGCAATGTGAGGCTGACTGACACAGAGTAAGGTTAGTGGTAAAGACAACAACAAGACAGGCAGGTAGTAGCCTCAAAATAGGATAAATCCTGTTAGAGTGTATTCACCTCTGCCTCTTTACAAATAAAGACACCATTTTTGCTGCTGAAGGTCCATTCACAAGTCATTCTGTAAAAGAAATGTTATCAATGCCTACATTTGAGTTGTTTCTGCAACAGTACACAGCCTTCCTTCTTACCTCAGTGGACAGCTTGGCCTCTAAACAGTAAAATCCACCAACCAGAGTTAGTCCTGCAGAAGCAAGCAGCAGCACTACAACAGTGAGAGCGCTGACATGCAACCAGTGGACTGCCCAGACACTGAATATCTGTAGCTGTATTTATAGCTGTATCTATACCAGCAGCTGATTATATGACACACCACAGTTTAATGATAGCAACAGTCTGCAGTATAGCCATGTCTTCCCTGTTCCAGTGAAGAACTGTGATTAGCTTGATAGCTTTCTTTTGAAACTTTACTGTAGAAATACATTTCAATGGAATTTCTTTATAGCTACAGTATCTAAATGTGTCACATCAAGTTATTGCCATTGCAAACGTTGACAAACCTGTTGCACCAAACATCTGTTTGGCTGTGTGACAGCATCAGGAACATTTCCCAAATACCTTTTATCAACATGACAACAACTAAAACAAATGCAAAATCTTGTCCTTACCTGCTTTTCAATGTAATTTCCAACCACAGGCTAAAACGCAGTTCTTGGGCCTCTTTGCCACAGTGGAGTCCACCTGCTTTGAGTCTTTTTCCACCTCTAGAACTTGAAATGTCTGGTATTCTGCCACCATAAAATGAAGTCTGTGTGCAAAAACCTGTTGCTCTTCTCCTGTATAACAGCAAACTATCCTCCTCTCTCAGCAAACCCTGGCCTCATATAGCTGCTGCTGCTGCGCCGTCTGTGCTGTGCTCTATACCTTGCTGTAGCAGTGGGCTGTGTGGAGGATCTGCTGTGAGCTGGTCTAATCAGGCTGAGCAGCCATATGACCCTGACAGCCCTGTCACTAGCAGAACACTCTACAGTTAATGCTCTTAGAGGGAGCGGAGAAGAGGCTCACTCCCCCTCCTCCTCCTCTTCCTCCTCCTCTTCCTCCACTCCACTCATTTTCCCTCCCCTCTACCAGGGTAAAGAAGGGGTGCTGTCCCCCCCCTCTTCTCTTCTCCTCTCCTCTCCTCACCCTTCCTATAGGCTGACCAGTATTTGCTCTCACATACAGTATAATGCACAGTGACAAAATAAATACAGATCAGATCATGTTTATCTTACAAGATAAGAACAAGTTGTTTTTTGCTATGTCTGTCTGTACCTTTTCTTGTTTTCCTTTCCTCCCTCTCTCCCCCCTTTTCCCTCCCTCTACCAACTAAAAATAGACAGTCTTTAGAGCTACCAGACAGATTGGACAAGTTCATGGAATTAACTTTCCCCTTAAATGACAATAGTCTCAAGTTTGTTTGTGTTCATGTGTCAAGCAACTGTGTTGTTGCCACAATGCACCACACAAAGTGTTGGTCCAAAAAACTGAATGAAAAAGGGGAACAGTTTTTCATTCAGTTCCTGATTTTTCATACCGAAGTCCATTAAGGCAGGGTTCCAGGAAGCTTTGGGTTTTTTCAAATATTTTTAAGGATACATTTAATCAGATTTGTTTACAGGCTTGCAGTATAGATATGTGAATGCAGGCAGTCACAAGGCAGTCATACGCTCAGACTTCTTAAAGCAGAACAAGCCGGGGCCTCACCTCACTATCAATCACTTGAGTTGAGACATGACTGTTAAACCGCACATGGAGTTTTAAAAAACAACTCTTAGTAGCTCAAATTAGCTGATGCACTATTTGAAAACTTTCCAGTTTATCACATTTGAATGGTCAGGATCATGTGTGTTGCTTAAAGCTTTGGTAATTTTCTGTGCTCTTATAACATTTCCTATTTTCCTTATAGTGTCCTGTTACCTTTATTTGTTTTGGATAACCAGTGTAAATAAAGCCACAGGTGGTGATCAGCAGGTTCAACCTAATGTGGGAGTCATACAGATAAAAAGGGCTAGAGGAGAGAAACAAGATGGAAACACATAGGACACTGCTTTGCCTTTGACTGCCAACAACATCTAAACATAGAGTAGAGGTGAGCACTGCTCCTTCACACACTGTACATTTGTTTTAAACCATATAAAGCCCAGGTGACATCAGTATGTCTGTAAACAAAGTCAAGAAAAACAGGAACATGGGGGAGGGGTCCAGAGGGGTCAGGGTGAACAAAACCTTCAAAGTGAGACGATGTGTCATGTGGCTTTAGACCACCACTCATTTAGATAGACTTCTAACATTACCTGATTGACAGATCCAAGTTAGGACAAATAATTTCTTCGACTACAGTATGTGGAGAATCACTGTTAAAACGGCTGTTGATTCTTCATGTGTTTTGAACTGTGGGCCAAGACTTTTGTTCTGCACCATCTGTGCCTGTCACGATTATCATGTCATGTCACATTTCTATGTCTAGGTTTGGGTGTTTTTGCTGTTCTCTCTGTCATGTTTTCCTCCTGGGTTATTGTCTGGTCCTTTTCCCTGTGTTTTTCCTCCCGTCGTTAGTTTCCCTGGTGTGTCTAGTTATCTGATTGTGTTCACCTGTGGCCCTTGTGTTTCTCCTCCCCTGCCCGGCTGTTTCTCGTCTTGTGATTACCCCTCCCTGTATTTAGTCTTGTCTCCTCCTGTGTTCAGTGTTGGTGCTTCTTTTGTTTGTGACCTAGTTCACCGTAGAGTGTTTTGTCTGTCCAAGTATAATTAAGTCCTTGAAATAAAGGTATTATCAAGTGCTATCTGCGTTTGGGTCTTACCTGCTTCACTCTGCGTATCAGAAAGCACCAACCAAGAAATGGGCCCAGCAGATCCGTTCGAGCTGGAATTATTGAATTTTTCCTTTTTTTTGGCTAACTGCTCGGATCGATGGAAGAGAGCACCCGGAGTTCAGCAGCGAGAGGCTGTGTTGTCGGAGGCGCGCCAGATGGCTAGAGAGAAACCAAGTTTGGTGAAGTTCTTACTTGGCTGGATTTCAAAGATCCTCCCGGTGTGTGATTCCCGGCCTGCTAGCCCCAGGCATGCTAGCTCCCTGGCTCCCAATTCCCAACCTGGTACCATACGCCTCGGTGGGTTCCGTCTGAAGTCAACCCACGCTTCTGCCCCAGTTCCTGCTCCTGGCCAGGAGTCGTATTCTGGAACTCGTCTGGCTTATGGAGGTCCACGGAGTATTCAGGCGGCTGCTAAGAGAAGGAGTCGCAAGGCCAGGCTAGCAGCCCGAGCCCCAGCAGCCATGGCTCCATGCTTCAGTACCGGCCCCAGTAGCCATGGTCCCGACTCCAGTTTCGGCTCCAGGACTGGCTTACCGGTCGACGCCAGCTCCCGAGTCCTGTCGGCGTACCGGCCGATTCCAGCACCTCGTCTCCTGTTGGCTCTCCAGCCAACGCCAGCTCCCCGAGTCCTGTCGGCGTACCGGCCGACTCCAGCACCTCGTCTCCTGTTGGCTCTCCAGCCGACGCCAGCTCCCCGTGTCCTGTCGGCGTACCGACCGACACGAGTCACCTCTCAAGACCCTTCTCAAGACCCTTCTCAAGACCCCTCTCCAGTCTCCTCACGAGTCCCCTCTCGAGTCCCCTCTCGAGTCTCCTCTCGAGTTCCCTCTCAAGTCACCTCTCGATTTCCCTCTCGGGTCACCTCTCAAGTCACCTTTCAAGCCCTCTCTCGAGTTCCCACTCAAGTCCCTACTCAAGTGCCGTTGGAGGTTCCGCTGGGGGTCCTGCCAACCCTATGTCCTGTGCCGTTGGAGGTCCCGCAGACTACTCTTCTGCCGGGGGGTCCTGCCAACCCCATGTCCTGTGCCGTTGGAGGTTCCGCTGGGGGTCCTGCCAACCCTATGTCCTGTGCCGTTGGAGGTCCCGCAGACTACTCTTCTGCCGGGGGTCCTGCCAACCCCATGTCCTGTGCCGTTGGAGGTCCCGCAGACTGCTCTCCTGCCGGGGGTCCTGCCAACCCTATGTCCTGGGCCGTTGGAGGTCCCGCCGACTACTCTTCCGCTGGGGGTCCTGCCAACCCTATGTCCTGTGCCGTTGGAGGTTCCGCCGACTGCTCTCCTGCCGGGGGTCCTGCCGGCCCTGTGTCCTCTTCCGTGGGGAATCTTGCCGACACCTGTCCCACCGGCTCCGGATCCTGTCCGGTCGACACCGGCTCCTGCCCGGCCTCCGGAGCTGTCCGGTCTTCGCCCTCGAGCCCGGTCCCCTGAGTTCGCCCGCTGTGGTCTTCGCCCCGCCTCGAACTCTGTCTTGCCCCCGGGCCGTCCGCCCGAGACCCCCTCCTCAAACTCTGCCTTGCCCCCGGGCCGTCCGCCCGAGACCCCCTTTTTGAACTCTGCCTTGCCCCCGGGCTGTCCGCCCGAGACCCCCTCCTCGAACTCTGCCTTGCCCCCGGGCTGTCCGCCCGAGACCCCCTCCTCGAACTCTGCCTTGCCCCCGGGCCGTCCGCCCGAGACCCCCTCTTCGAACTCTGCCTTGCCCTGGGCTGTCAGCCAAGGCCCGTCCTCCGGACCCCCTCCACCCACCCTGCTGGACGTTGTTGGATTTTTGTTTTGGTGTTTAGGGACGTCTAGAATCCGTCCCTTGAGGAGGGGGTTCTGTTACGATTCTCATGTCATGTCACATTTCTATGTCTAGGTTTGGGTGTTTTTGCTGTTCTCTCTGTCATGTTTTCCTCCTGGGTTATTGTCTGGTCCTTCTTCCTGTGTTTTTCCTCCCTGTCGTTAGTTTCCCTGGTGTGTCTAGTTGTCTGATTGTGTTCACCTGTGGCCCTTGTGTTTCTCCTCCCCTGCCCGGCTGTTTCTCGTCTTGTGATTACCCCTCCCTGTATTTAGTCTTGTCTCCTCCTGTGTTCAGTGTTGGTGCTTCTTTTGTTTGTGACCTAGTTCACCGTAGAGTGTTTTGTCTGTCCAAGTATAATTAAGTCCTTGAAATAAAGGTATTATCAAGTGCTATCTGCGTTTGGGTCTTACCTGCTTCACTCTGCGTATCAGTGCCTCAGATCCTAAAACGCATCCAAATTGGTCAAAATGTTTTGCAACTAAATAATTTGATTTGAACTTTTGATTAAAATATATGATAATCGCCTACTTGTTGTAAATCCTCTTCCTCTGAGGAACAGTTCCAGTGGACCCATCTGTTTTGATACTACAGACAGCATTGCACTGGCCCAAACAGGGTTGCTGCAATGGTTTCTGGTAATGTGAGCTGACACCCTGTAGGTCAAACCCTCAGCAGTCTTGTGCTTTTGATGGAGCCTAAAGTACACTTTGGGCGCCTGCTGTTGCGTCATGAAAGCAACAGGCTGACCTGCAAAGACTTCAGAATGCTTTCACCACAGCTTCAGCAAAATGTCAAGGAAATTTCAAAGCTTTGTTTCAATAAGCCAAACACTGTATGACCATCATGGTAATGAGTCATTAATCTCAGGTTCTCCTGTCCCCTTTAGACTTAAGCAGCAACTATGAATAGGGCAATTTATTACCTTGATTTCAGATATCAAACCTTTAAGTGTATCAACTATTCATTCAAGGCGTCTGTGATAGCACGGCTTAATTATGACCAAGGTTCATAAGCCAAACATAGTCTTCATTTCATATCTGTGTGTGTCTGTGTGTGAGAGAGAAATATTACAGTTTTGATAAAAGCATAACCAATTGCTCTTGCCAAAAATCAACAATGCATATTTCAATTGATTTAACATCACTGGTTGTTGTGCACATCTTATTTATTTATTCCTCATTCTTTTTGAGTAATGTTTACCTGTTGTTTTACCTGGAAAGATCGTCTTGGCCTTAGGTAATGCTTGGTGCTATTTAAACCTAGAAGAAGCACTCTAATCTGTCTTAGCTACATCTTGTCTCACCCTTTGTTGTATTTGTGTCTGATGAGTACAAACATAGCCTCATGTAAAAATAAAGTGTCTGCCTCTGATATAACCATAGTGTAGCTGACCGGTTTGTCTATGGGTTACTACAGTGGTGAAATAAGTATTTAGATCCTTTACTTAAGTGAATGTACTTATACCACACTGCGAAAATACTCCACTAGTATAAGTCTTGCGCTCCAAAAAATACTTAAGTCCGAGTGAAATATTATCAGCAAATCTCAGTATACTTCATCATGCAAAAAATATTGTTTTACTATTATGATGGTTTGGAATTTATATTACGGCTGCATTATTGGGTATGTTGTATTTTACTGCTGGAGATATTCAAGGTAGAGCTTATTTAACTACCTTATGTAAAGTTGGGTAGTTTAATAAAAAAATAATGCATCATATTCTATAAGCTCATCGTATGTTTGTAATGTCACTGTAAGTATCTGTACAAAATAAAAATGTAATGAGCTCAGAAACACTGCCATGTTTAGCTTTGGGACCATCAATTATACATCTCATTCAACAAGGTTTTAAAATACTTTATTTGGAATAACACTTATTCCTTATCGTAATCAGATACAAACACAAACACTAAAATGAATTTCCCTCACAAGTTACTATTAAGTATAAGTACTATAAATGTGTATCTAATTGCAGTACTTCAGTTATATTGCATTCAATCACTAAGTATTTACAACCCCTACTACATCTGGTGCACATTTGCGCTGATTCAACATGTTGTTGATGATGTATACGATTACACAGTGCATCCACTCATGTGGACTAGTTGGTAATACTGTCCCTCAGGCACACTACTCCTGCACCAGTGTGAAATTCTATGTAATCCCCAGGGCAACTAAGAGGAAACCGGATATCAAAAGGAAGTATGGCATAGTTCTTTTTTAAACTCTTAGCTGCCATAGTACATTTGTATGATATCTAAACAGCACACAGCAGCACAATAACTGCTTTCAGGTTTATACTTATATTTAGGCCATGTCACGTTGCAGCAGTAGCATTACTATGCTGGAAAAACGAAGCCCCTCATTGGCCAGCTGTGGATGGTGGAGAAGCAACAGTATGCTGTGTTGGATCAAACGATATTTACGGGTCTTCCTGTTTGAGCCATGCTAATATTTTAGAGTTCAACTAGATTACTTGAGGAAACAACGATCAGTGTATTGGTTTACAGTGACTGCAGTAGGTTGCCGTTGAAGTGGAGGGGTCTTTCATGTGTTGCCAAATGGTTTTATCTAAAGAATATGATGCAAGGCATACAAATAATAATAAAAAGCAATACAATATGGTATGTGTTATTTAAAGCAGTGGTTCCCAACCTAAGGACTAAGACCAGTAAACTGTATAGCAATGAACCCCAAGAGCTTATTATAAAGAAAGGAAAGAAACTTTACATTGCTTTTTCACTTATATAACTGGATGAATTTGACCTTTTCACGCCCCTAAAGTAAATTAAATCAAATCAAGTGTTGAGAATCTCTTGGGGGAATCAATAGATCTTTACTTTACTAAAATATATTGACTTAAAATGTGTTTAATTGATCAAACGTTTAGGCCTAAACTCCTCAGCAAACCACCTATGTTAATACCAGGACAAACTGTACCCTTAATCGTTCCTACTATATAAGGAAGTGTGCTTGGGGCCTGTATGATTTTGCACATAAACACGCACACATCCTAGGAAAACATGGTTACGTGAGAACGCACACATGCACGTACACACAGATTCAGAGAAAATCACAAACATACTAACACACTCACAAACACACACACTCAAACAACAACAAACATACACACATGCACACACAGTCAAGTGTGTGGCAAGCGGCAGCAGCTGCTGTGTGTATAATTAGAGAGTTTTGAAAGCTGAGAGTTGGAAGGTAGAACTTTCACCTGCAGCCTAAAAAGGTTACCATGACGATCAGCGACAGCATGACAATACAACTCCTGTGATCAGCTTCATTACATGTCTATATGTAAGGAACATTCAAATTAAAAAAATGTGAGACACTTATGCAACCTGCTGTTACAATAAGCAATATTAAGCAATTACATCACATTACATGACATTACATTACTTCACCCTCAATACAGCATTTCTATTACCCTGTGCAGCAGGTTATGTTGGAGGAACATATCAATACTTGTGGGTCAAGGATCTCTCCACCATATGCTGAGATCTCAAAACTCTTTTTCCATCTCACCGTCCAACCATTCTGCTTTGGGACAGACACACCCACATGGCATTTCAAAACAAAACAGGTGACTGTCCTAAATATATTTTATGTATGCCAAATTATATTTAAGATTCAAGCTATCTGTAAGTACAAAGCCATTTTAATATTAAGCAATGACATTTAAAAAAACAAGATTTGTCAGTGTAAAAACAAAGTAGTGTGTGGAAAATCTGAGCTTCTTCAATGCTGCCAGTTGACTAGCTGCATCCAGAAAGGTGACATTATATCCCCATCTAGTGGAAATGACACAAAGGTGCAGAATGTGCTTAGAGTTTGCAATGGACTAGAATCTGGCACTATTTCTAAACTTACATTAAAGATGAATTGCAGCTTGAAATGGCTAATTAATGGCTTTGAAGTTTGTTAGAGTTATCTCAGTAAATAAATTCCTCCTTAGTAAAAAACATGTTGTGTCGTGTTAATATTCACCATGGTTCTGTTCCAACTTAATGTTAAGTTTTATTGAAGAAATCTTGATAAAAGTTTAACATTCATCAGTTTGAGTACTGTTATGGGGTTTACATTGCATGGATTACGTTTTTTTAATTTAGAACTGTTTGGCTTTATTGCCCGGTTTAAAACAGTTGTTTGAAAAGTAATCAAAAGTATTGAAATGTATTGATTAACAGAACTTTAATTACGTTATTAAAATAGTAACATTACATGTAACAGTTAATGGTAATATGTAACCTATTACATTTGTAACCTCCCCAACACTGGTCGGATTGTCCTGTCATTAATGTGATCAAGGAATGTCATCAACTGAACAGCAAGGGTTTGGCCAAATGAAATACTATTGGGCTATATAAATAAAAATTAAAAATACCAGAATTTCAATGTACAGAAAGACTTATGTGTACAAATATTAAGAGTTATAAGAATGATGTTGCTGTATTAGACTGCTATTGCCATTACAAGGTATTTACATTGATGGCGGTGCTAGTTTGATTAGGTCATTGTATATGCAGTCACTAATCCTCAAACACACTGTAGAACAAAAAATAAGCATGAAAAACACAGGTGGATGTTGATGCCAATAGATTCCTCAAATGTGGGACAGTTGTCCAAGGTAAAAAAGGCTGGCAGGCAAAGCTTAGTCATAGTTAGGAGAATGTTAAAAGGCTACATGCTGACTCTCTGCTCTTCAGCCAGCACTACATTGATTAAACATTCAGTACACTGTGTGTGTGTGTGTGTGTGTGTGTGTGTGTGTGTGTGTGTGTGTGTGTGTGTGTGTGTGTGTGTGTGTGTGTGTGTGTGTGTGTGTGTGTGTGTGTGTGTGTGTGTGTGTGTGTGTGTGTGCAGTGTGGGCACACACATTCCTTCTTCTTTTTAAACTTTGTCTTCCCAACCAAAGTGTACCTTTTTTACACTTTTCTCTGGACTTTTTGTTTTCTTTTATTATTTGGGGGGATTTTGTAAAAAAACACAAAAGTCAGGTATACACAAATATTCCATTATCAACTATAAATGTCAATGCGACACTCGGATAAATATTCCTGTTAAAGTTGTACAATTTATCACTTATGATTTTACCTCACTAAATGTTCATCTTAAAGTGCTTGAAGAAATTCAAACAGTATCACACCTCCGTCATGGCAACACTCAATGTTCACAGCTGTAGGCTAGACTTTTGAAATCTCTATGGTTATTTTATCTTTTGTGCTGTAAGATTGCAAAATGACACACTTCAGAGCACCCATTAAATAAAGTTTGTGTACTAGTTAGCAGGAGGCTGAAGGAGGAACAGATGACGCGCTGGGATTAGACATCTGACGTACTTAGTGTTTATCTGAAGGTGTTCAAATGACGCTTCACAGTCAAAATAACAAGCTTTACCTGTGATTTTGAAGTCATTTACCTCTAATCAAGCATATTACAAAACACAGTCTTAATTATTTCACGAGTCGACATAACAATAATTAGTTTTTTCACATTTCAGTTAATCGGACATATGAACACATTACTTTAAGATAAAGTAATAACTGTCTAGACACAAATGTCATGATCATAATAAATAATCTGTAGCTGGATATTCTGCTTAAATTGTCTTAAGGATGCTTCAAAACTTCACAGTGAAGTTTGTTTTTTACCATGTGTAGATGGTCTGGTTAAATCCCTTTAGAGAGATTTCAATGTTGGATTGCAGCAGCCTGAGGACAGATTTAAAAAATAAGGGGCCGGTTGGCAACGGGTAAAACCTTTAAAAGCCTTTAAAGCTTAGGGACAGATCAGTGCCGGAGGATATAAAAAGCAGCACAAACAAATAGCTTGTCTCACAAATTAAGCTCTGAGATCGTCTTTTGCTCTGGACTGGAAGATCCCAGACAAACAAAACAAAGAGAACATTTGATTCCAAATTTAAGAGGAATTTGAGAATCAGAGATCTTCGCAGGTCATCTGCATCTCCTTTAGCTCTGCATCAGCAGCCATGGTACTGGAGGAGATGGAGTGTGACTCTGTATATGAGCCGCATATCACTGTGAGTATTAAGCTTAAGTTAAACTTTCTGCTCCATTCGCTGCTGCAGGTGTTATACTTGTGAGAAAAACTTTTACCTCAGTATCAGAGGGATCTTTTCCTGCATGGCTACATATGGAGCTTCAAGCATCTGGTTTTAATTCACATTACAAAAACGAATCTGCTGTGTGATTGTTTTGCTTTTTAGGAGGAACATGTAGAGAGTTACTATGGGAAGGTGCACTGCATCATGATGGGAACTCCAAAGACAAACCATCCTGTTATCTTGACATTTCATGATGTTGGACTGAACTGTAAGTCCAAACTACTTCACTAATGTTTGTACCCTGCGCACACTAAACCTACTGTAAACCTATACAAGTGGGAGAAAAAAGTCAAGTATATGAAGTGTTTTAGATCAGCTAAGCTAAAAAGTAATTTTTATTTATTGCATGTATTTAATACAAAGAATAGCTTATCTTTCAGTATGTAAAACCTTTAAGCGTGCATTTATTAATAGAAATATCCCTTCTTCTTAAATATCTTTACATTAAACCAACCATTTTCAATTTGTCTAGATAAATATTTATCTGAGTGATATAGTATATTTACTTTTCTCATTTTCTTTTTATTTGTTATTCCACTTCAATGGGATTTTGATGCAGTTTTGTTTTCTTCTTCTCGCAGACAAGTCCTGTTTCGAAACCCTGTTCAAACACGAGGATATGCGGGAAATTATCAGACATTTCCCAATTTGTCACGTTGAAGCGCCAGGACAACAAGAGGGAGCCAAAACTCTGCATACTGGGTCAGTTTTTTAAGTTGTAAAAATAACATTACTTTACATGAGTATATTAGGGTTAACAGATTGAGTCCGACCCTTTACTGATGGTTATGTGAACTTTGACCCCTCAGACATACCTACCCTACAATGGACCAGCTGTCTGAAGTAATTCCTGCTGTCATCAAACACTTTGGGTGAGTTCAACAGATACTTTTAATTGTCCTTTTATTAAAAGTTAGACTGTTTTCACACAGCACTTGACTTTTGGCTGCTGTTTGCAGGTTACCTCGGGTGATTGGAGTGGGAGTTGGAGCAGGAGCTTACATCCTGGCTAAATTTGCTGTGAGTTCAAATCTCTTCCCCTAATCCCATTTCACCTTAAGACAGAGAGACGACAAAGTGTGACAAATAGTTTGGAACATTTAAAATTGAAATCTTTACTCTTGTCAAAACAGATCTTCACTAAGCTGTAGTTTCTCTTAGTGTACACTTGAATATCAGATCAATGACAGAGTTATTGATTAGATATTTTTGTTAAATCCTAGAGATTGGGTGACACTGCTTTACAATACCTATACATTCAGCAGCTCTCCTTTCCATAAAACACTCTGGACAGGGAAGATAAATATTTTATCCATGATATTAATCCATGGGTGAATATCAAGGATGTGATCTAGTACAAGAGTAAAATGACGTGAAGTCATTCACACTCCAACACTAAATGAGAGAACTGCTGAAAAAACATGTCAGTAACTGTATGTGAATAATATTGTAGAAAACTAACCGTTCATATGTGTTTATGTGTGTAGCTGAATCATCCTGATATGGTGGACGGATTAGTCTTGATCAACATTAATCCTAGCGCTGAAGGACTAATCGATTCTGTTACAAGCAAGGTGAGCAGTGTGTGTTGACCACTTCGTTCAAGGTTGATCGTTTGTTTAATAAGATTAACATCTATTTCAAGAGCAGCAGTCCTGCTTGTCAGACATCTTTGATTGCCAGATCTTAAGAAAGGCAGTAATGATTAGAGTGCCCATCCTCTCTTTGAGGTACTGGGTTGAGTGCAATAGATTCAAATTTGTATATGCAAAAAACATTAATTAACAGATGATGTAATGACCTAACACATATGCACTTTCTGCTTACACTTAGGACTGTGGCACTTAACCTTATCTAACCCTACACACATGTATTGATGTATTGTTATGTGTGTTCTGTTCTGTTGTCCCCATTAGGACAATAAATATAAACTCGAATAAGTATGACTTTAATCTATACAACCACCTGTATTTATAGATATTGGATTGCATTTGACTGATTCTGACATTTTAAACCTGATGTCAATTTAATACATAATATGCTAATCTAAATGTCGCTGAATGTAAATGTAGTTATTTTCTTATGTGTTTTATAGATCACTGAATGGACCCACACTCTCCCTGACACACTCATCTCACACTTGTTTGGAAAGGTAAGTTATTGGCTTCCATTACCATGTTAACAAAAGTGTAAACATCTTCAAAAATGTTGATTATTAATTATAAAGTGAGTCTTTTACAGAATACCTCTGTCTTACTGATGTTTCAGGTTGAGATTTTGAACAACCATGACCTCATCGCCACATACCGCCACCTCATCACGACAACAATGAACGAGTACAACGTGAGTGAGTTCCTTCACTCCTACAACCACCGCCACCCCCTGCAGGTCGAGAGGCCCATCCCTGGAGGAAACATCAATGCAAGGACCCTCAAGTGAGTACAAACATTAACCTTTAAGGAGGTGATAGCGTCAAGATCTGGAAAATGAATAGCCGGAATAGTTCTCATATAATATAATTCCCTTTTTCGTGTCCTGTAAATAGCATCCGATAAAGTGCCAGGCTCTATTTTTTCTTATTAAATGTCTTACTTTTTCTGCCTTTGTCTTTGTTTACAGGTGCTCCACTCTGCTGGTTGTAGGAGATAATTCTCCCGCTGTGGAGGCCGTGGTCGACTGCAACTCTAAACTCGACCCCACCAAGACAACTCTGCTCAAGGTAACCAAAGGACTGACACAACATGTCCATTAACCCATTAACACCACATACAGTTTTTATTTCAGACTGAAGCCTAAACCTGACAACCTTTGCTCTTCCAGATGGCAGACTGTGGAGGACTTCCTCAGGCGGATCAGGTAGGCAGGGACATTTTAGTGGCTTTTCCGCTAGCAATAATGTAAAAATCTACACTCCTTATTGGTTGGAATTAAATGTGATCCTTTTTTCTTTCTCTCTACAGCCAGCCAAAGTTATTGAAGCTATAAAATATTTTATCCAGGGCCTGGGATACTGTAAGTCACTGTGACCTAACCCTTTACTATCCTAACCTTTAACATAACTATTACATCACAGAGATCAACACTTTAGGTATTTACATCTCTGCATTGTTAAAAACCACTTCCTGTAAATGTGATTATTGAAACCCCTAATTGGTGTTAGGAGCAGAACATGATAAATGCAATTATTTTAATAAGTGGATAAAATGTAGGTTGAATCAATATTATAAATCTGTTTTGGATAAACTCCTATAACCATTAAAGACTGATGCAAAGCTCAAACCTCTCTCTCTCTTATTTCTCCAGTGTCCAGTGCCAGCATGACTAGACTTGGGTCACGAACAACCTCCTTCTCCAGTATCGATGGCTCTCGGAGCCGCGCACACACCAACGAGCTGCAACGAGGCCGAACATACTCACACAGCGCCGAGGACAAGCATGGCTCCTCACACACTAGCACCATGGAGCATACTTCATAGACCACATCGTCCAATAAAGTGGCATGCAAGAGAGCACTATGCACTAAATGGCATGCAATTATTAATATCATACCTCATTATATTTACTAGGATAGCTTCGCTCTGTCATGCCCTTTTCTTTGCACTAACTCTAGCAGAAAGGTCTTTGTTCCCTCTTCTGTATCATCTGTGTCTCTTCCTATTCCTTCAACTATTTAACCATCATTTCCTACATTTCTCTCTTGGCGTTGTACCTAGTCTCTCCATAAATTAGTAATCAAAACTGAACATTGTCTGTTATGTAAAAAACTCTAAAGTGTTTTTCATGTATAATTGATAAAATGAAGATATAAAGATAAAGTGTTTTCTAGTGTGAAGACTGGATGTTCATACATATAGTAGCAATGTGTATTGATTATGCTACAGCTTTGTTTTTATTATCTGCAGTTATGGTCATATATTTTAGATCTCAAAAGGTTGAAAATGGGACTTTCTTTTGGGAATAAAATAAAAATAATATCATTACTTTAAATGCATTTAATTCAATCATTAAAATGTATTACTTTATGTAAGTATCAGTGAAAATGAACTACATAATTCTGACAAATGATTGCCTTCCATCTCTTAATTGTTTGCCATTCACAAGATCATCTAATATGAATGATTGGAATAAAACAGACAATACCTCTGGTTTTGGTTTACATTTTGATAGACAAAAAAACTGTCCATCATGTGTCAAGTGACAAAGAAGACGTTTGAGAATAATGTTTGTAAAATACAGGCATTATTTCAGACAGTAATTTTTGATCAGAACATCAGTAATTGTTCCAGAAAGTCCCATTACTTCAAAGAAACAGGTAATCTAATTACATCAATCTTTATATGTGTCACACAAAAGGTCAATATTGTCCATCAACATGGATATTGTCTTCTTTCTCTGATTCAATCCACAACATGCCATTTACTGCTCAGACTGTCATGAAGGCGAAAGCCTTTTTCTCTGGTTTCCTTGTCATTATAATTGACGATACATCAGTTAAACTCTCAACCACCTAAATAATTCAATCCTAAAAAATAATTATGTTTATAAATCCTCTTGCAAAGAGATTGCACTTTCCATAAAATTACCTCGATTATACTATAGGTTGGATCTATGACATTTATATGGTTGAAATACAGTATGAAACCATTCTGTTATTCTGTGTCAAGACCAACTGTAGTGTACTTCTCCAATATGTCCAATAGATGGAGCTCTGTCATCTATTTTTTTTCTTTTGCTTTGCATCATCATTACATTACATTACATGTCAGTTGTTAGACGCTTTTATTCAAAGCGACTTACATACATTCGGTACTGTGGACAATCCCCACAGGAGCAATTTGAGGTGAAGTGTCTTACCCAGGGACACAACGACATGCTGACTGCAGTGGGACTCGAACTTGCTACCCCCCTGATTCGAAGACCAGCACACTACCCACTGAACCAGAGCCTCCTCATCAACAGCCATGCACTACGTGACACTTTATATAGCCAAATAACATTCAACTACTACAACTAATAAGTAAATATGAAACATATTGAAAAAAACATGTTTTTTTAATACAAGTTCCCGTGCGCAGCATTATGGATCGTATTTAAATATATTGCGTGACTCGTATTTAGCCTTATCCTGTTTAAAAAAGGCAGGATAAAAGTACATTTCCTTTTTTTCTATCTTTTCTTCTATGTTCTTGTTGTAGCAGAAATAAGTCTCCAGTGTGCAATACAACACATGAACCTCTCTACCAACAGCTGGTTTTAGCAGCATGAAGTATTAAGAGGCCTGTGTTTATGATTGGCTCAAGGTTAATTTGTCCCTTACTGTTTAATTGAATTAATTTGACACTAGATGTAATTCCCTCTATATGCTCAGCGGTCTGACTGCCATACTGCTAGCAAAGCACACACACCATGTTACTATGACATCATTAAGAGTTTTAATCCACCTAAGTGTCTCCCTCCCTTGTGACATAATTTGTTTCAATCTTCTGTTAGAATAAAAATAATCTTTGTCACAAGTGTGTGTTTGCATTTGTGTATGTATGGATATTAACTGCATGCATGAATGTACTGTAAGTGTAGGTGGGGCTGTGTGTAGGCCCGTCAGTAGATGAATTGTTTTGGACTGTGAGACAGTGGAGACACACAGCAACACAGCATACTGGCAGTCAGCATCACAATAGTCAAGTCACAATAATGTTATGTGTGTGTGTGTGTGTGTGTGTGTGTGTGTGTTGTGTTGTGGTGGTGTGTGTGTGTGTGTGTGTGTGGTGTGGTGTGTGTGTGTGTGTGTGGAGAGAGAAGAGAGAGAGCTGAGAGAGAGAGAGAGAGGAGAGAGATGATGAGCTGAGAGCGAGAGAGAGAGAGAGATAGAGAGATGGAGAGAGAGATTGAGAGAGAGATCTTTATTTCAAAGCTTCTTGTTTGGCTTGCCTTATAACTATGATGCATAATGCACGACAGTAATCTCTAAAAGATTCATTTAAACACGAGACATCAGCTACAGCACGACTGTGGGTTCTTACATGTTCTCCTGTTTCTTATTATTTCACTTTGCTTTGGTGCATTGGGCCGTATTAGACAAAAACACTAAATCTTGCAAATGCCCATCCACTTTGGTAGACCTTTGTGATTTGTCCCATAAAGTGGATGATGACTACCCTGCCAGCTCAGAGATTACTTGCTCAAAGTGGGGAGGACCGAGTGGAGAGCAATTTAATGTTCAGCTTCAACAACAATGTTGTTCATAGACGCATGCAGCTATGCAGTTCTGATTACTGACTGCAACTCAGTTTACACAACAATTGTATCAACCTAACTCAAAAAGGGCAACTGCACCTTCGCATCTGCTTAAAATATTTATATTCTCTAATAAACATAACAAATGTGATAGTACTAATGTCAAATTTAATTGACACTTTCAATTTTGTTAACATCACTTGAGAACATTTTATATCTTCATGTCTGATAGTTGATACACCATTTAATATGGTCACATATTGTAGGCCTATGTATATTGAGCTTTTTGTATTGGATGTGAACTCTTATTCTAATGTTTGAATAGATAGTTTTTTTAAATGGTCTTCTGTTCTCATTTTATTGGTTACATTGTTGTATGCTGTTATTATCAATGTTTTATATTTTATTGGTTGGTTATTATTTTTCTTTTGTTTTATAATCTTCTTTGGTATACGTTTACCATTATACCCCCTTTTTTCAAAGGTTATATGGACATGTCTGGCTACTGGGTCTTTCAGTTGAGGACCCATAGACAATACATTTAATTCTAAAATAAAAGGCGATGGATCTGTTATTGGCAATAATAGTTGTTGTCATGTTGCACAACCTACTGTAATAATAATGATGTATGGTTCCCTTAACTACTGTCTGTGTGCAGTGCAAGGCAATGGCGATACATCGAGGAGGATGTTGTTAAATTGAGTTCTTACTTAAAAACAGTTGGTGGCCCTTGAAGTAGTCTACTGGACACGTAGGGCCCCTCTCCTCTGCTCCTGTCAGTAAGCCCACCAGCTGCAGCCATGTTGGAAAAGCTGCTCCAGCTGCACGGTGCTATCAGCTAGCGTCAGTGGACACCGACTACCGGGCACGGCGCTGTTGAGGACAAAAACAGACAGGGAGAGGGACTCATAACGGAGAGGTACAGCCACCAAGCCGGTTCTGACATCAGCGGGTCCATACATTTATATTAACGTGCTGGCTGAAAAAGGTGGCCGGTTACGGAGAGTAGGTGCGGCCGGGCTCCAGGGCTGAAGCGGGTGAGTATTGATCCTTCTGGGGGGCGGATTAAATGGGAATAGCCCACCGTTAGCTGAGCTAGCTTAGCATTAAAGGGGGTAACACACACACACAGACAATGGGGTTAACGCGAATGCATTACATGTGGTGTGTTTATTGGAGCTGGTATAATGCATTTGAGAACATATCCTGGACTGAATTATATGAAATGTTGGTCCAAATGACACACCGGAGTCATTTGTATTCCTAACAGACCGACAGTGGTGCAGTGACCGAATCCACCCCTCTCTGTTTCTCTGTTTAGGTGCAAAGGTCCAAGCCTAGGAGGATTTATGTCAGAGCAACAACGCCGTGGCAAATCTGTGTTTTGATGAATAACGAGTTGCTCACAATGAGGCGTATTGTTGCAAGCAACGGTTTTTAGACAAAAGGGGGCAGCTCTTACTTAACCTGTGCGTCTCAAGTGTTAGGGTTGCTTGCTGCCTTTTCAACCACAAGATTGAACACTTGCAGCTGTGGAAGCCCGAGTGTTATGTTAGGTATTCATATTTTAACCATGCACAACAGATTTCCTTTTGCATGTTTCGTTGGATTCAAGTATTATTTTAGTTGCAGTGTCAACATTTACAGAACTAAAGAGGGTGCGGAGCCTGGTGCACAGCAGCCCTGTGGATGGGATTTGTCAGTGGATTTTTGTTGGTTAGGGGTTTTGGAGTCAAAGCTGCCCTTTCATGTCTCCTACAGATTTCTGTTTTCCTTCCTTCCCCCCCCCCCTCTTGTTTCCTGGCTTTACAGTATGTGACTGTTGCCCCGATCACATCCCTGAACACATCCTTAGTTGCAGCAAAACTGGAGGGTCAAAACCCCAAAGCTTTTTTGAAGTGCTTGTGCACAGAAAACTATTGAATGCATAGCTGAGACTTGTACTCTTTTATACTTGAATACAAATCTGACAAGGCTGGAATCAGATCGCTTTGCGCTTAATAAACTCAAAATGTGATTAAATTATACATATACAGTAATGGAGCATCCAGCTATTCCTGTAAAAGAGATATGACAGCATTTGTTGTAAGTGCGTTATAGGAACATACTGGCATTTAGAATAAGTCCCTCACTATATTCCTAATGGACAAACACTATCACTTCACAGTTTAGGTAATATTGAAAGCCTAGTTAATGTTTGCTAGATTGCATTTCCAGTCAATGCTGTGATTCATGGCTTTCCTCTCTCCGTGTACCCAGTCCTGCTGTCAGGTAAAAAACTCACTTGGGCACATCATGAATTTAGTGCAATCTGTCT